ACAGTGTTTAACTCTGTACAATTTAAGGCAGTGTCTAGCAAAATCAAATATGAATCAGCCATATGTCTACTGCCAATATAATTACCTCTGTGTTTGTTTGCCTCTATAAATATCTGTTTATTTTATGACTTGTATATTTGTTGTGTAGGTTTGTTGTAAATGGTGGTTCAGTCTTGGCTAGGTGACCAGTTATAAAAATTCTCCTAATTCCAATATCTGTTGTGAATCTACATCACTTCTGTGTGGGAGAAACACTTTGGAATTTGAAGATAATATTGAAAGTATTATAATTGGATATTTTTAGGTATTGTTCATTTTTACTTGTCAAAAACACACAAAATATTATCAATTTTTTTGTTGTTGTTGTTGAGACAGAGTCTCCCTCTGTTGCCCAGGCTGAGGTGAAGTGGTGGGATCTTGGCTCACTGCAACCTCTGCCTCCTGGCTTCAACCGATTCTTTTGCCTCACTGTGTTGGCCAGGCTGGTCTCAAAGTCCTGACCTCGTGATCCGCCCACCTTGGCCTCCCAAAGTCCTGAGATTACAGATGTGAATTACTGCACGTGGCTCATTATCAAATATTTTTTAATATTCTGTTTAGTCCTATTAATTATATTTATAATGTCATGCAGCATACCCCTAGAATGTTTTATCTTACAAAGCTCAATCTCAATGTACAACAACAACCAGTTTTTCTGATTTTCTGGCACTTTGCAAAAACCACTTTGTTTTCTATTTCTAAGAATGTGACTGCCCCATATGTCTCATACAATCTCTGTCTTATTGTGGCTAGCTCATTTTATTTTGCATAATGTCATCAAGCTTTATTTTTAGAGTTGTTAGAATATTTCCTGCTTTTTAAATCCTGGGTGATATTCCAGTATTTTTATATTGCAAATTATATCTATTGGATAATTTGGTGACAGAAATTTCCATTTCTGCCGGGTGCAGTGGCTCATTGCTGTAATCCCAGCACTTTGAGAGGCTGAGGCAGGCAGATAACAAGGTCAAGAGATCAAGACCATCCTGGCCAACATGGTGAAATCCTGTCTCTACTAAAAATACAAAAAATAGCCGGGCATGGTGGCACACACCCGTAGTCCCAGCTACTCAGGAGGCTGAGGTTGCAGTAAGCTGAGATTGTGCCACTGCGCTCCAGTCTGGGCAGCAGTGCAAGATTCTATCTTAAAAAAGAAAAAAGAAAAAAAAAAAGAAATTTGCATTGCTTTTACCTATTGCCTTTCAGTAAAAATGCTGCAATAATTATGGATATGAAAATAACTCTTCATGTAACCATATATGTGAAAGTTTCTATAGCTGCAGCATTCTATTTTATTAGTCTACTTTTTAACCATTATACTCATACCAAATTACTTTAATTCTGTAGCTTTGTAATGTGTTTTGAAATCAGGAACTATAATGCCTTCAACATTTTCTTTTTTTGAAGACTCTTGGGTACTTTATTGTCTCTTGACATTTTATATACTTTTGGGGTTGTTGTTTCTGTTTCCTCAAAAATGCAATGAGAATTTTTGTGTTTTTTTTTTGTTTTTTTTTTTGAGACTGAGTCTCGCTCTGTCGCCCAGGGTGGAGTGCAGTGGCCGGATCTCAGCTCACTGCAAGCTCCACCTCCCGGGTTCACGCCATTCTCCTGCCTCAGCCTCCCGAGT